TAGCCCTCGTGTAGCTTTGCGTGAAATAAAAAAAAAACAAAAACAAACTCAATAACATTTCGCCCCTAGTGGCTCAGTGGTAAATTTTGCAGGCTTAAGATGCTAAAAATCGTGGTGGGCGGTGTGCTGATAGCCTACTGTATAATTCTGTACTAGACAATAATCAACCAAACAACTGAAAAACTTTTTTTTTATGTATTCTGTGCAAGATTGTTATTGCTTTGCGTAGAACGTAATCAGTTTCATTTGAGAAAAGAAACCTAAACCACCTCACTGACTGACAACGTGGGACTGATACCTGTGTAAAAAAAAACAAAAAACATTTACCAATAACTTCTACGCAATACCAAACTTAAATATTTTATCTTTCTTGGTAGAATGGTCTGTCTGTATCCATCAGTAAATCTTATCATAAAAACGACTTCTTTGAACAATAGATTAGCGACATTAACGAATAAGATGAGAGAGTGAGACAACAACAAAAATATATATATAGAGGGCGTATTGCTACATTAATGACAAGCCATTTCTTGACGTATGACGTGAGAAACGAACTCTTTTTTTTTTCCGTCATTTTCTATGCGTAGTTTCAGGTGATGAAGTTAACAGGGTTGAATGGAACGGCCGAACCTTTACCATTATTAGACGTAAACAAGCTATATTTGTGGGTGTGTGCGTGGGTGGGTGGGGGGAGTACTTCGAAGATATTGCTGCTTGACAGCCGATATTAAACGGCAGACAAATAGTATCGAACAATATTGGAGCAAGATACATTTTGGTTCTTATTATATCCATTGCATAAAATTTAGTTAGTAAAATCACCACCAGAACGTTACATTCTTTCCAGAATAAAACAAACGCTTAGTGGACCTGCTTAGGGTTCTGTGAATTACAGCACATCGAAACTCAATACAATCTACCAAAACATTTAGGAGCTAAACTCTTAACAGTGTGTATATATATATATATATACAGTGCCTTGTAGAAGCATTCGTCCCCCACCAATAATGTTACATTTTGATGAAATACAAATAATGTAAATGTTTTTTAGTAAACTTGTTTTATTCAAACCTATTGATCAAAATTAACACTGTTTCACGTGAAGTAGGTTGGATGTCAGCAAAACCCGCAAAGAAAATTTGTTGATTGCATAAGTATTCAGTCCGTTAAGTCAGTACTTGGTGGAAGCACCTTTGCCAACAATTACTGATGTAAGTCTTTTTGGATAGGTCTCTATCAGTTTTGCTCAATGGGATGGTGTAATGTTTGTCCCTTTCTTCCTGAAAAAATTGCTCCAATTCTGGATAGTTCGTCGGGGATCGTTGATGGACTGCAACTTTCAAGTCTCACCATAAATTTTCCATTGGATTCAAGTCAGGAACTTTGACTGGGCCACTCTAGGACATTCACTTTCATCTTTTGATACCATTCCTGTGTGGTTTTATCCTTGTTTTTTTTTTGGGGGGGGGCGTTATTGTCCTACTGAAATGTGAATTTTCGACCCCTCCAGCAGGTTTTCCTCTAGGATTCACCTGTACTTTGCACCATCCACATTCCACTCAATCCTGACAAGCTTCCCAGCTCCTACTTATGAAAAGCACTCCCACAATATGATGTTGCTACCCCCATGCCTGGTAGTTGGGATGGTGGTGAATAGGTGATGTTCTGTGTTGTGCTTGCGACAGACGTAATGCTTCGAATTTAGACCAAAAAACTCAATTTTTGTCTCCTCTGACCACAGAATCGTCTGCCACGTGTTTGCAGTATCATTTACATGCTTTGTCGGAAACTCCATGTAAGATTTAAGATTTTATTTTTCAGTAATGGCTTCTTTCTTCCCATTAACCCACACAGGCCACCTTTGTGTTGAGAGCGGGATATTGTCGATATATGAACATTAACTCACATCTCAGGCATGGAACGGAACTTTGCAAATATTTCAAAGTCACTGTTAATTTCACAGTGGCATCCCTAACCAGTTTTATGTTGTCCGCCTGCTTAGTTTGGAAGGACGGCCTGATCTGGGCATGAAGCACATTCCAGCTTAGTTTGGAAGGGTGGCCTGATCTGGGCATGAAGCACATTCCAGCTTAGTTTGGAAGGGCGGCCTGATCTGGGCATGAAGCACATTCCAGCTTAGTTTGGAAGGGCGGCCTGATCTGGGCATGAAGCACATTCCAGCTTAGTTTGGAAGGGCGACCTGATCTGGGCATGAAGCACATTCCATTTCTTAATGATGGACTTCACCATACTCACAGGGATAATCAGCGACTTTGAAATGTTCTTGTAACCTTCGCCTGATCTGTGCTTCTTTACCACTTTATCCCTGACTTGGT